AGAGAGAGAGAGAGAGAGAGAGAGAGAGAGAGAGAGAGAGAGAGAGATTGGACTTTGGACTTGCTGCAAAGAGAAAAACAATCACTTTCTGCATCTGCCTCCCTTCCAGTCTCCACCAGTGGCTGTCATTTAAGAAAAATTAAACAGTGTTGCAACCGGAGGATCCCAAGAATGGTCCTGTTGGCCACAGCTTGGTTTTCAAGGATGGGCTGTGTACCACCAGTGGTAGCCAAGGCAACAGGTGCAGAGAGGAAGGCCCTTGGCTGGAGTTAACAGTGACCTGCTGTAGAAAGGCCCCTTGGAAGTTTTCTTTCGGTTTGTTCTAGGCTCCCAGGCCCTCGCTGGGACTCAGGCTCACTGCCTTGGCACCCCAGCTGCCCTGTCTCTCTGGTACCCAGGTTTTGTGCGGCCTCCCTGTATCTTTCCTGTATCTACCTTAGAGAACATCCTTAGGGATGGCTACCAAGGCAAGCGTTTTCTCGAAAACCAGAGATAGAAATGTCTCCTTTAGAAGCTACTTATCTGAGTGGCTTGGGTCAAGTTCAAATCATGAAGAAGTGAACAGATCAAGTGGTACCCTGACGCAGATGGACCAGTTGTGTGGTACTGCCAGCACACATGGTGGCCAGCCTAATTCCTACATTCCAGAAGCAGAGACCAGATCTCCACAGCAAGCTGCCTAGCTTCAAGTGACAGACCCTGCCTTGATCTGTAAGGTTGGGAGAGACTGGGACAGATACCTGATGTCATCTTTGCCCCTTGCATCTACACATACAACTACACACATGTCCAAACATTCATTCACACATACACATATACACAAACACACAAGATTAACAAGTAAATCTCAAGTCCTGACCATGGGCAGTGGGAGAGGCTCACAGCCAGCAGCCCTAGCAGTTAACAGTGAGCAGTGGGAGGGGCTTTCAGTGGGAGGGGCTTTCGGTGGGCGGGGCCATTATGGGAAGGGCTAATGGTAGGAGGGGCTCATGGTGGGAGGGGCTCACAGTGGGCAACCAGCAGCTCTCACCATATAAACCACAGCAGCAGAGTCGTCCAACGAAAGTGGGGTGTGAAAAGGTCCCTCATTTTGCCTCGGTCTTCCTGTTTCAAGACAAGGACATATGGGTTATTGGCTAGACTCCAGTGCACAGGGACCTCCACTGGAGCCTGGTGTACACACACACACACAAACACTCACATACTTAACACACAGAGACACACAAATACACATACACAGAGACGTACAGACAGACACACAGATACATAGACACACAAAGATATACATACGTACAGACATACAAACATACAGATACACAGACACATACACACTCAGACATACGCACACAGAGAAACACACAGATACACAGACACACAGACACACAGATATACACACTCACATAGACACACAGACACACAAAGACATAAACACAGACACACAGATATACACATAGACACACACACAGACATAGAGACATATATACACACAAAGACAGACACACTCCCACACACACTCATACACACACTCACATACAGATACCCACACACACTTATACACACACACCCCACACCCTCACAGAGACATCCCCCACCCTCACAAACACCCACACACAGACACACACCCACACACTTTCACAGACTGACATATATACACAGATACACAGACACACAAAGATATACCAGACACACAGATATACACATACACATAAACACACACAGAAACATATATACACACAAAGACAGACACACACTCACACACAGACATCCCACACACTCACATACACACAGAGCCACACCCCTCACATACCCTCACACACAAACACACATTCATACACACAGACACACACCCCACACAGGCACACACCCCACACAGACAGACTCCACACACCCACACACTCTCTCACACTGACATATACACACAGACTCTCACACACACTCTCACACAAACACTTATGCACACACTCATACACACACACACACACTCACACCGACCTGTCTGGAGACGATGAGTTTCCCCAGAGGCATGGGGGCGCCATTTTCTGTTGCGATCCGCTTTAAGGTAGCAATTGCCTTTTCCTGGTTCCCGGATAGCACATCGTACCTAGCGCTCTCTGGCAGCCACTGGGGGTGGGGAACAGGAGACCCAGGTGTGGCAGGTCAGTGTAGGACAGAGCACTCCCTCCCAGACACCTTCTCTCATCTGTGTGGGCGTCTTTAAGAGGTAGGTCTCTGGAGTCAGAGATCTGGCTTCCAATGCTGGGTCCTCTGTAGGTTACACGGTTACAGGACCCAGTGCAAGGATGTCACTTCCCTGTGACTCTGATGCCTCGTTCAGGAGTTTACAGGGTTAAACGGGGTGATGTAAGCATGAAACTGTCATTACCGACATGGCTGCTTTTAGAGATCTGGGGTCAGGTGGAGTAAATGAAGATCACCATCAAAAAATCTCCCCCTTAAGCCAGGGGGTACTGGCACATGCCTTTAGCCCCAGCACTCATTCGGGAGGCAGAGGCAGGTGTATCTTTATGAGTTCGAAGCCAGTCTGGTCTACAGAGTGAGTCCCAGTACAGCCGGGGCTACACAGAGAAACCCTGTCTCCAAAAAAACAAACCAAAACAAAAATCCAAAAAAACCCAAAGCCTGGACCAGCAAGGAGATGGCTATAAACATACGTACGAAACACAGAACGGCGAAGACAAGCAGGGGAGCGGCCGAGAGCAGCAGCAGCCAGCGCCAGCCCAGGCTGGGCATCACGAACACAGCCAGAAGCACCTCGAACACGGTCCCGATGGCCCAGAAGACCTGGCACGGGAGAGTGAGAGTCAGTGGCAGGGTAGTGTGGTCCATACAGCGCCGACTGTGGGGTACAGTGGACTGGACCGGAGTGAACGTCAGATCTGCGCATCCTGCTGTGGCCCCTCCCACGCTGCTGAGTAAGACACGCAGCGCGCTGGCCGGACCCCACAAGACACCACAGCGAAGTGGGAGGGAAGGATCAGTATTCCGTGACACAGATACGACAGGGGGCATTCAAGGGATTTTGAATTATTTGCAATTTTTCCCCTAACCATTCTAGGTATGCGCTGGTATCGAGCACGTCCCGCCTGTCCTGCGGCTGTCTATGCTGTGGACCTCCGGAGGTCGTTCTGTGAAACGAAACTGTCTCTACGGACAGTCAGCACCCACTCTACCCAGCCACCACCCCCTGGAAATCTCTGTTTATTTTTCTTATTGTCATTTTGAAAAAGCTTTCGAGACGGGGTCTGGCTATGTAGCCCAGCCTAGAGTTGAACTTGAGATCTTCCTGCCTCAGCCTCCCAAGTGTTGGGATTCTAGGCGTGTTTAAAGATGCCTGTCCTGTCGTTTTGATCTTGATTGTTCTGACCACCTGTGTAGCAGAATCACATGACATTCATCTTCTATGTCTGGATTACTTCACCAAGCGTAAAGTCTTGGTGGCTCCCTAATGCTGTGGCGTGTCATGTTTCCTGCCTTTTGAAGACTTGATGCTACCGTTATATGTGGATATATCACATCTTGTATATGCCTGTATGGACTGATGGGCACTGGAGGGCTTCCTTAGAGAGGGAATCTTTTGTGCAGTATATGGAAGATTCACCTGTCAATAAAAAAAAGCTTATGGCCAATGAGCTGAGGCAGAACTAGAAGGTGGGACATCCGGCAGAGAGCATTCTGGGAAATAGGTGCAGATGATCCCCCCCACCCCCCGCCAAGAAACACAGGAAGATTAGGGTATGAAACTGAGGACCAGGTGACTCGTCGCCTGGCAGAACTTAGAACAGAGCGATGATTCAGTCATGAGCTAGGCAGGGAACGAGCCAAGGCTTTTGGCCTAGGTGTTTATTCATATGTAAGAAGTCTCAGAGTCATTATTTCGGGGAACTTGGGCGTGGCTGGAGAGCCCGTGGTTATACATCCATTGTCTCTGCGTATGACTATATGTATTGTATACTTCTGTCTACTGACATCTGCTTTCCTTCCCCAACACGTTCAGAATCTGTCCTTGGGGTCATCTCTTCCTTACACAGGCTCAGTATCATATATATCATGGTATATATGATAATGTATTATATATATAACATATATAATATATATTAATATATAATATATTATATATAATTATATATAATTATAATATATAATTATATATTATTATATATAATATTATGTTAATATATGTAATATATATTATATATTAAATATATAATTATATATAATATATTATATATGCATATATGCTCAAGCTCTGCCATCCTCTTCAATTGCCTTTGGATCAAGAACTCTCAGCTCCTCCTGCAATATGCCTGCCTGGATGCTGCCATGCTCCTGCCTTGATGATAATGGACTGAACCTCTGATCCTGTAAGGCAGCCCCGATTAAATGTAGTCCTTTATAAGACCAAGTCCTTTGGTCATGGCATGTGTTCACAGCAATGCGAACCCTAAGTAAGACAGTTGCCTGGAAGCTATGGCCACGCTCCTCAGCCTCCCCAGAAAGGAGGATGACATGCTTGGTTCACCAGGCTCAGCAGGGACCTTATAGTAGTGACTTTGCTAGGTCCTCTTCAGACTGAATCTGTCATTCCTGGCTGGGCTCGATCTGCAAGCGCTGCCTACATCAAAGCCACAGTCTGTGGTACCTCAGTTCCCAGAGCCTTCCTAAACCAACCCCCCCACCCTTCACTTAAAGGAGCCCCAATCCATTTCTGTTGCTGACTGTCATGGGTGACCACTAAAATGTCTAATGATGGGTATGTTAACGATGCTTGTCAGTTAGGATGAACATCAGTCAGAAAACTCAACCAGGTATGAACTGAAAAAAATTTTTTTTCTTTTTCTTTTTTTTTTTTTTTTGAGACAGGGTCTTGCTATGCGGTTCTGACCGGCCTGGAACTTGCTATGTAGACTAGGCTGGCATGGAACTTGGAGGGAATCCTCCTGCCTCTGCCTCCTGAATTTGGAGATCATAGGTGTGAACCCATCACTTTTAGCTGCTGGATCTTGGAAAGTTTAAGGGCCCCTAAGAGAGGCTGCAGAGATGGCTCAGCGGTTAAGAGCACTGACTGCTCTTCCAGAGGTCCTGAGTTCAATTCCCAGCAACCACATGGTGGCTCACAACCATCTGTGAGGGGATCTGATGCCCTCTTCTGGTGTGTCTGGAGACAGCAAGTGTTCTCACATACATTAAATAGATAAATTAGAAAAAGAGAAGGGGGGAGGAAGAGGGAAGGGGATAAAAGCATTTATACTGTATATCCATGTGCATATCATATTTGTCAATTGAGTGTGTTCTGTCTTCAACTCCCCTTTGCAATCCTGTGGCTACATACATCTGGGAACTGCTTGCCAGTCAGAAAACATTCCCGGGAGGCCCGTCACCCACTCCTTACCTCAATCAGCAAAATACACTTGGCTCTGGCTTTCATGGGAAGGAACTCGGCGTACAGCGTCACCCTAGGCGAGTGAAGAGACAGGGGTTAAGACAGCGGGAGGATGGCAGATTCTAAATTCTCTCCCTCCGATAACGATCCATGGATTCCTAAGTCAGAACTTCCCGGTATCACGGCTAAAGTCAGAAATTCAACAAACAGGTTCTTACTGTAGCTCATGGCTGACTTCAAACCCACTACCTTCCTGTCTCTGTTTCCCAGGAGCTGGGTTGCCAGCATGGACCATCTTGCTCTGCCAGGGTGAGAAGCAGATTCTCGAAGGATGGGGCCCTGGCTCCTGCATTTTTAGCCAGCCCCCTCAGGTTCCGGCATGCTGCCAGCGAGGTCGGCTGTGACCATGGAGTCTGAGAAAGTCTGACTGTGGGTTTATGGGCAGCTGTGTTAGCAAGTCGATATGGCTGTGTTGTATATGGCCTTTTGTCCTGGGGGACACCTTCATCCTCAGTTCCCGATGTCTGTCTGTGCATCCTTGAGGACAGCCACGGGGATTACATCGAGTTGCTCCCAGCCGGTGCATCCCGGGTGTGCCGAGCCAGCCTGGTCCCTTGCTGCTATGTTATTATTCATCGAGGGGTGGAGTTGGTGTCTGACACTGGTAGTTTGCCAGGACGTAGTCAGATTTGCCAACATCTTGCTCTCCACAGAACCTCGACCCACCAGCTGTAGCTTCTGGCTATTTCTACCTGAACGGACCACCACCGTGTTGATGACAAATGGCATTTTAATTTTGTTTTTATTTTTTGCACTTAGTAATCACACCCTAATTATAAGAAAGAGCTTTTCTGGGGCTGGCGAGATGGCACGGCAGATAAAGGTCCCTGCTGCCAAGCGCAGTGAGCTGAGTTTGGTCCCTGTTGGTCCCTACGACTCCACATTGGCAGGAGAGAACTGACTGCTACAAATGGTCCTCTGACCCCCATAAGCATGATTGTGTAGGAAGTCACCCGGAAGGTGCCCTGGACCTGTGGTTTTTTTTTTTTTTTTTCTCCAGCTGTCTCTTTGCCTGAGTGATGCTCTGCCGATGCTCACAGCGCCCCCTACTGCACACAAGAGGCTATTGACCTTCTGCGGATGTTCACAGCGCCCCCTACTGCACACAAGAAGCTATTGACCTTCGATGTCTCCTGTAATCTGTTTATTCTCGTGAAGATTCTTGCAGCTTTGGTGAGATTTTTGTTCTTTTCTTTGCATTTTATAACCAAAATGTCACTTGTAACGAGATAGAGTTAGGACGTTGTTTAACTCCCTTTTACAGATTAGAATCCACGTTTGGGGGCTGGAGATTCCTCAGTGGTTAAGAGCTTGGAGGAACAGAGTTAGATTCCCAGCACCCACATGGCAGCTCAAGGCAACCGCCTGCAACTCAAGTTCTCGGGGATTGGACGCCCCTTCTGACCTCTACAAGTACTGCATGAACAAGGTGCGTGTACTCACTCGTTCAGGCAAAACACATATATACATAAAACAAATCTTTTTTTTTTAGTCCAATTTTTCCCTTTGATACTAGAGACTGGGCTCAGAGCTATATTCAAGTGTTCTCCCACTGGGCTATTTTCTAAGCTACCAAATCAAATTATTTTTGAAATTATTTTTAAATAATTGTTCTTATTGTGTGTGTGCAGTGCCCTTGCTGACCAGCAGAGGGAGCTAGAGCTCCATCCATCATTAGCTATTCAACAGAGGGGGTGAGAATTAAACTTGGTTCCTCTCCAAGAGCAGTAATCACGCGTAACCACGGAGCCGTCTCTCCAACCCCAAACCAAACCCTTTCGTATGCTACTCCGCAGACGTGAAGTGTGATTACTCAGCATCACACTGTGACTTCTCCGTCCAGTCCTTAAAAGGACAGACACCAGTGCGGAGGGAACAGCTCCGCGCCTCTGGCGTCCTCCTCCTTGTAGGGCAGGTCCCGTGAGCAGCATGCCCTTCTCGCTGAGTAAACATCCGGCTCTATGCAGTGTTTGTTCTTCGAAGATGCTATCCGGCATCAGTCAGGTTTGATCTGAACTCAGTGGCATCTGGCCTGGGGAAGCAACCCCGATTTCAGGGCTATGAGTTTGATCAGCCCTGGGTGTGATCCCTGGCACAGCTGGTTGCAAGCTTCGGCTACATGAGACTTTGTGGCTTTGGCTTCCTGTCTTGGATCCCAGGCGGTTGTGCCTGGGTGAAGCCAGATGGATCTTTTAGGTTCATCAGATCATCTAACGCACCTGGTGACTGAAAACTCTCGCAAAGCCCCTGACACGGCAGTGCTGCCTGACAGCCCAACCGCAGACTGAGTTAAGTAAATCACTGTCTTAAACCCTGAATACTGGGTGGTTTGTGACCAGCAACCGCTCTTTCCTTCACTTAATGAGCACCTGACTTTGATCAAGCCTCCCGAGAGCTGGGTTTTCTAATCAGCCAAATGGGGATAGAGTTGGGCTAAGCATCGTTTGAAGGCACATAGCATAGCTGTCCCGCGGGCAAGCACCCACGCGCGGTCCTTGACGGCAGTGAATGCCGTGGATAAGGTAGCTCTTATGGTGATCATCGATGTGTGTTTGGGGAAAGGGAGGGATGAAGGGGGAAAGAGGCAGAGAAGAGTGATTTGATCCGTCTTCCCATCGTTGTGGTTTGGGTGCCTGACTCTACATGCTCAGGGTTTTATAAGGTGACACTTCATCCCCATCCTGTAGCACTAAACTTGATTCAGTTTTGGTGTCTAGGGGTGGGGACTCAGGGTTGGGGTGTGTGTGTGGGTGGGGGGGTGATCAGGGTTAGACAATACCATTAGGGTCAGTCCCCAAGATTGAACCTGGGGGTGAGGGGTGGAGGAGAGTCTCGCTAACCTGTGACTCACTGTGTAGCTCAGACTGGCCTCACACCCATAGTGACCATCCTTGGCTCCGCCCCCTCAATGCTGGGGTTAGGGGAGAGAGCCAACACATTCCCTTTTAATCTTGGTTGGTTTGCCAGGTTATGTCTGAGCCAGCTCCGTGGCTGTTACTAAGAAAGCCACTTCAGATGTGTACCTAGCCTTGTGCCTGGACTGTGAGCTGTGGTAAACCTCCTTTCTTTATAACCTACCCTGCCTGTGGCGTCGTGTTCTCAGAACAGCTGTTACCGTTACATTCTGGCTGTTGACTTCCTTTAAAACAGTACCCCAAGAAGCCCTTGTTTTGATTTTCTGAGGAGCTCTGGCTGGGCAAAGTTACTCTAAAGGAATGGAAACTTTTAATATTACCTAACTACCTAAAAATTTTGTCACCTAAATGTCTCTCAATAAAGCACTTAGGGGAGCCATCTTTCTAACTACATAAGAGCACTGTCTAATTACAACGTAATTAGGTTTATGGAAATGACTATGTCAGAAGTGTTTAGGAACAGAGGCCCTCTTGGGGCTTCGTATTTCTACTGTAATTTGCCTGTGGGTTTTTTTTCCCCCTCCTCACAGATAAAACAGCTACCTAGTTACACATGTGAGAGAGCCAGTGTGGAGGGGCTGGGTGATGTTTTAAATCTCACAGTGACCATTAACCAGCTGAGGAACAGGAGAGAGGGACGTACATCACTTTAAGGCACACGTGTGTGGAGCATTGGTGGCTTCGCTGAGCCCTAGGGTGAGGTGAGATCATTCTGAAGTAGGGAAGGCTTTGGCAGATCTTGGTGATTTAGAACCTGGATGTAAAGACTGACTGTCCATAAGGCGAGAAAACAACCTAACAGAGATTTCGTTTAAAAGGTAAAACAGAGAAAGAAGTCTGTCTGGGTTGCTCAAAGACAAATGTGATGAGATTTGTGTTGAGTCATAGTTCCTAAGGAGAGAACTGACAGGAAGTTAAATCACCTGGAGACTTCTGGAAGACTCTACCGAGTAAGGAGTGGTTCACAGAAGACGTCTGTGATTGGGCAATACAGCTGAAGAGGATCAAGCCTGTCCCAGGGTGGGTGACTATCTCCCTAGACTAAGGAGGGTACATTTACCTCCATCCAAAGGTTATGCTAGCGATGGGATGGTTTGCCCAGCCAGGAACTCCCCCGACAACCAGGTATGGTGGATGGCGACTCAACAGCTACAGCCATGTCCACGTTGCCAATCCAGGGCCTCCCTGACCCACTGAGCCAGCAGGTGCAGCTTCAGAGAGCAGAGCCTTGTCGCCCTTGTCCCTGAATAGGTCTGAGCAAATTAAGTCAGGCTCACTGGAGAGTCAGACATAGAGAAAAGTGGGGAGGCTTGCTGGAAGAGCGTGGGGATATGGAAACATAGTATCTCAGAGAGAATGACCAAGGGTTACAGTAGCTGATTAATTAGTATCTCTTTGTACTCAACCTGCACCTCGGAAGAAGCAGTTGATATAAGTGGGTACAAAGGGATGGAGACACCTGCTGTTGACACCTACTGAGAATAGATGGGCAACAGACATTCAGGTCGTCTTTGTTATGGGATATTGCCTTGTCTGCCCTAAACTCTGGAAAAGGTTCCTTATATAGATGATGTAATGCTAACCTCCGAGTGTTCTGCAGATTTGGAAAGCCAAAGAAGAGACACACAGGTACAGTGGTATTTCCTTCCGTCTACCTTACGATCCTACTGGGACTCAGTTAATTGAAAGAAGAAAGGGAGATTGTTATAACGATAGCCATGAAGTTTGAATCCGAAAGGGACCCTACATGGATGGAAAAGGACACTCCAAAAGCCTTAAGCCTGACTGGCAACCTTCATGGCTGGGGTGGGCTACCTCCCTGTGAGCTGAGGACCAGAGAAGCCCCTAAGGCCCCTTAAGCCATAAAAGCTATCGCTACTGCTGTTGGCTGCATGCAAAAACTAGATAGTAAGACCCTATTGCTGAAGATACCACAGGCTCATGCTTTGACTATAGGGCACGGAGAAATTAACCCGGGAGTGAGCTGGAAACTCCCACTCTGCTGGCTGGCTTTCATGGTGTCACAGGGGCCAGGCAGGCTGCCTGTGGAGAACTGTCACTAACATTCCTGCTTGCTTAGGGACTTTCGTGCTGAAATATTGACATACCAGTCATGGTGTGCCTGCTTGTGCAATAGTGGCTCAGCTGTCTTGGGTAAGACCAACCACCTTCCGGTTGGACTTAAGGCCCGCCCCACAAGGGGAGTTCATATCTGGTACTGTAATCCAGGACAGAAACCCATTGGTGAGAAGGTCATAGGATCCAATGGGGAAGCAACTTCTATGGTTTTTCTAGATGAATGTTATGTGCCTGCCAAACTGTCTTCTCTACATGTGTTTACATGCATAGATCCTTACTGTTATCTGCCTTAACTCAACCGATGGCAAAGCTCCCAAGATCAAGTGACTGTTACTATGGCATGCTGGCCTGTTTCATAGCCATAGATGGACATCTGTAGTCACTCCTTTCCAAGGCTCAAGGATCACTGGAGAAGACCAGGCAAAAAGAATGGAGGAACCGGTGGAGTGTTGTGTGGAACTCAAAGATTGAAACATTCCATGCTGCAGGGAAGCTGTTTAAGCAGGAAGATAAACAACTCAGTGTAGCTTCAGGAAGTCCCTGAAACTTACAGGACTCACTAGACTGTTCCCTGCTGGAGTAAATGGTAAAATCTGAGTTATTTGCCGTGGAGCGAAGCCAAGCTGAACTGGGAAGAAGAGTCTTGAGAGGAGATCAGCTGCCTAGAAGAAACAGAGACCCACTGAGCTGCCCGGAAGAGTAAACCAACTGGAGCTCCTGGAAAGGACACTCTCCAACCTGGTGAGCTGCCTGCAGCTGTCGCCCTACCTGGGGTAGCCTTGATGATGCAACTATCTTTGAGTCATTTCTGCACCTGTAAGTAACCCCTCACCCCATCCCTATTAGTAACCCCAGTAAAACTCATTGGTTCACCAAGGTGGAGTTGGGTGATGAAGAGACTCTGGCCAGCTTGAACGTGGTGAGCATAGCTAGGGCAAGCCTTGCCCTTCTCCCTCATTTCCTCTGCCTTGCCAAAAACAGATTACATTCCTAAACTAGCCCCGAAGGTCTATTCTTTTATTTGGACACTTCTTCCTCTGGAGGCTGACTACCAAGGTCCAGCTATCAAAGTATTGAAGTCTGCGATCAAAAGCCCCTTTGGCTCACCTAATCAACACACCCAATCAAAACATGCCACCGCACCCCAGCCCATTCTAACAGAGCCCTCCCTTTTTCTCTCCAAAGTTACACCCACAAGGTTATTTGCTGCTGCTTTTCTGTCTGAGTCAGAGAGCAGACACTTTAACGTTTCTTGTGAAAACAGGTTTTCTGGGATGGTTTGTGCCTAATCAGGGACCCCGAAAGGGAACCCTGGCCGTGCAGAGGTCTTCTTCAGGTGATAGCTGTACTTTGGTCTGTAGTGGGATCCCAGTCTGGGGTGCGTAGACGTGTTGTGTTGGGTCTCCAGGACAAGTCCTGTCATACCACGCCTGGTGTGCTCACCTCCTCCCCTGTTCTGGGGTCTCTGGGAATGACAGGTCTCCAGCCTCTGGGGAAGAACCCTTTTGTCATGAGGTGCCCCGCAGCTGGTCTGGGGTGTAGTCTTTCTTTGATCTAGTTACTTAGAAGTCTTCATTTACTCATCAGCTTCCAGAAGTTTCTCAAAATTTCTGCTTGTGTGACAGTATCCTTTCTTTGCTATGAGTTTCATTAAAGATTCCTATCACCTCTGCGTCATTTCTAGGAGATTTGTGAGCCCAAGTTTAGGGTTTGGTACATCTCTTTTGCTGTAGCTTTCGGTAGCATCCCTAGAGGAGGAATTTGACCTGAGCCGCTATGGTTCTTCCAGCCACAAGGGGGCGCTGCTCATTGACCAATGGTTCATGTGCGGGAATCCTGGGCTCTGGGCTACAGTTGGGCCATGGGTTACTAGCTGCTGCCAACCCAGATTTATGGCTGTGTCTCTGTTAATGGTGTCTGCTTAGAGCTCCAGTGGTTTTTATTCCCTGGATAGTGTGAAATCATGCTTTTCCACTCCAGGAAAGTGTGTTGGGTCCCAACTCCATAGAGCTCGGTAGAATTCAATAGAAGCCATCAGAAAGATCAGGAGGGAGAGTGGAACAGGCTCAGTGAACTTCCAAAAGCAGGAAGCCACGCCTGGGTGTTAGATCGACATGGTCAGTCTCCCCCTTCACACTACACTCTGTCTATCTTCTACCCCGACACGATTTGACTTCCTCAGTGCCTTGGGGAACTGGACTTGTGCCAAGCTCTGACTTCATAGGAAAATGTTTGTTGGTTTGTTTGGAAACGTGGCGTCAGGTATTCCACACTGGCCTTGGACTGTCACTTAGCTAAGGACGACTTTGAGCCTACAGCTCCCCAGTGCTGGGATCACCGGTCTGAGGGACCACACTCTGTTTATGATGCTGTGTATCAAACTGAGGACCTGCTGGGCAGACTTGAAGATGGCCAAGTGTTGCATCTGAAGCGATGCAGTCTTTGACAGAGCATGTGTCATGGCCCAAGAGAATATTTGGTAGGAAGGAGTATTCTCCCGGGCATCTTCCTGGGCTCTTCATATGTGGGGTCGTAACGCTCTGAGGGACCGATGAGGTGTGGGCACCAACAAAACTGATCTAGAGAGAGGATCAGGGTCTCATCTGAGATGACAGCTCAGAATCAGGATTCAAACCCAGGCCTTCTGGTCTGCAGATCCTGTGATGTCACCACATTGACACAGGGCAAACCTACCCTTCTTAGATTGTCTCTCCACACTGTCCTGAGGAAGCCCACACAGGGAGTTCATGGTCTATACATATCACGTGCTGTGCCATCCCTGGCACTGATACTCTGAGAAATGGCTAGGCTCCAGCTCGGACGTAGTGCTCTGTAGGAATGGTGAACAAGCTTTTAAAACCAGCATTCCCGTTACAAAGGACAGATGGTTCTAGATGTCGAGAAGGCGTTGAAGCTGGAGTGGTCTTTGTTGGCGTTACAGAGTCTGGGGGGGTAGATTCATGTGGACTTGATGTTAACATCTTCCAGAGGTCTTGGCTCGTAGACAGAAGGCTTTCATACTGGGACCGGTCAAGAATCCCATAAGAGTTTTAAAAAAATATTTATTTATTTTATGCATATGAGTACATTATTGCTTTCTTCAGACACACCAGAAGAGGGCATCGGATCCCATTACAGATGGTTGTGAGTCACCATGTGGTTGCTGGGAATTGGACTCAGGACCTCTGGAAGAGTAGTCAATGCTCTTAACCTCTGAGCCACCTCTCCAGCCCATCCGGTAAAATTTTTGTTTGTTTTTGAGATGGGATCTCATTCTGTTGCTCTGGCTAGCCTAGAACTTACTATGTAGACCAGGGTAGAGCTCCATCTGCCTTCGCCTCCCAAGTGTTGGCATGAAAGGCGTGTGCCACCACATCTGGCCAAAAGTCCCATAAGCAACCGCTACCGCTTAGTAACTGTCGGCAGTCATGTTGTGTGTGTGTTCAACGTGCCATCGACGTTGGGTGTGGTTTGTGACAACTTCTCTTTTAGGGCCTTTGGACACTGCTGGTGCTGTTGTTATCTATCTGAAGGCTACCGACGCTGGTGGTACTCTGTCCTATGTGGCTTCAGGTTCTAGAAGCCCTGCACAGCCATCCCCACATTCCAAAGCAGTGAGGACACAGAGCCATCCATCCATGATTCCCTTAACTCCAGGGTGCTGGTACCTAATCCTGAGGCTGTTCAACTCCCTCCTTCGAAGTGATGCAGTATTTGATAGAGACAGACATGCCCATGCCTCCGTGTGCTATGAATTACCTCTGGATGACTGATAGCACAGGAGCAAGGTACAGGTGCTATCCAGGTGTCTGCTGTCCTGTATGATTTAAAGACTAATGACCAGGAGGGTGGGACTACATGCTTGCTTCTCCGCTGAGTGTTTCTAAACCCAATATTGCTGAACCTGTGCGCATGCGGAAGGTAGCTATGCCGGTGCTGGGTATTTACTTACGACTGGGGCACCCCTCCAATCCCAAAGCCCACCAGGCCTCGGAGCACCAGGATCCAGCTATACACGGGCGCGAAGGCGCTGAGGATACCATAGTACAGGGTCCAGAGCACACTGATCTTCAGCCCCTGTGGAGGAGGAGACACAAAATCACAAGAGAGCACCTCCTGGGAGCACGTGTCTACAGGCAGCGAAAGCTACCAATGAAGGCTGGTGCAGCCCAGGCTGGGGCACCTGCTCTGGGTTCTAGCCCAGCTGTCATGTTTGTTTGATGGATTGTTTTGGAGACAGGGTTTGCATCGCCCTGGCTGTCCTGGAACTCACTCTGTAGACCAGGCTGGCCTCTGCTTCCTTAGTGCTGGGATTAAAGTCATGCACCGTCACTGCCTGGTGCCATTTTTAAAAATGATTTATTTATTTCATGTATGTGAGTACACTGTAACTGTCCTCAGACACCCTATAAGAGGACATTGGATCCCATGACAGATGGTTGTGAGCCACCATGTGGTTGCTGGGAATTGAACTCAGGACCTCTGGAAGAGCAGCCAGTGCTTTTAAATGCTGAACCATCTCTCCATCCCACCCCTACTCCCCCTTTTTTAATTAAGAAGTTACTAGCAGGGCTGGAGAGATGGTTCTACAGTTAAGAGTGCTGGGTGTTCTTCTAGTGGACCTGGGTTCAATTCTTAGCATTCAAATGGCAACTCAGGTGTCTGTAACTACAGTCCCAGGAGATAAGATACCTTCCTCTGGCCTCCAAGAACACTGAGACCAAAGCTAATCATGGACCCACCATGGACTGAAAACTCCCCACTGTCAGCCAAAACAAATGGAGTTGTCTCAGGTATTTGTTACAAGGAAGGGCAGCTGACTAACACATTGTTCCTCACCCTGATAGAGCTGAACTCACCGTCAGGACTTCCCACACCTATGCTTCAGGTGAGCCAGACCCTTTCTCCAGGGCCTTCAGTAGCTCCCCCATCACCAACAGCAGACTTTGACCTCCTCAGGCAGGTGTAATACAGAGCAGGTATCCACTGAGTCAGAGAACTTGTCTGGCCAAAAGTTACCAAGACAGATTGTGGGTCCCAGTCACTAGCTAACCCGGGTTGCAAGAGAAGCCAAAAAAACCGAGATATTTATTTATATGCAAAATATGTCAAAATGGAGGCAACTGACTGAACGCCCCGTAAAACCCTGGGAGGGTTAAATAAAACAAGGGGGTAGAGTTATTGCTCAGGGGCAGGATGCGGGATTAGCACACTACAGGCCCTGGCGTCAACCCCAGCACTGAAATCTAGAACACATGGGTGTGTGTCTGTCTCTGTGTCACCAGTTTTCAAGCTGTAGCCCAGAAAGCCTGGGATGGCACATTCTTGGATCGCTCTCTGCTATGAGGACAATGTTCACAGGTCACAGAGACTAAAGGTTTCTCACAAGCTGAGTCCTAGTGTGTGCCTGGGACCTCTTCTTCCTCCTTAAAGACACTACTGTGCTAGGTACAGTGATGCACGGACACTTGGGAGACCGGAGGATGAGAATCAGGAGCTTGGGGTCGTCGGGGATACGCACTGAGTTCCTATCTCAGAAACAAAAAAAAATAACAGCACGGTGGTGGAGAGGCCCAGTCACACCACCCACACTCCGAACCTTAGTAACCAACTAGAACATTCTATCTCGCATCGGCAAACACCCGTGCGTGTTACACATGCTTCATTTTGCTTTTTGAAACAGTCTCAGGTAGCCCAGGCTAGCCTTGGACTCGACAGGTGCTAGGGGTGACCTTGAACCACCAAATCTCCTCCCTCCTAAGTGCTGGGTTACAGGCACGCCCAGTTTTATCCAGTGCTGACCCTGGCCTGCTCAGTGTGGGACAAGCGTTCTACCCACTGAGCTATACCGAAGCCCTCTGTACACCCAGCCGTACATACACTTTCTGGTTGAACCCTGACCCCAAGTCACTCTTTGTCTTTCCTTTGCCGCCTTTATTCCGCATGCAGGGAAACAGGCTCAGAGAGGTAAATCAACTTCCTGGAGGCTGCCTTGTTCCACAAGAGTGGGAGGGTGGGGTGGGGTGGGGTGGGGAGTGAGACACACACACACATACAGATGCACACATACCACACACACACACACACTACACACTACATGCACACACACACACTACATATACACACACACACTACATATACACACACACACTACATATACACACACACACTACATACACACACACTACATACACACACATGCATACAACTCCCACTCTCTGTCTCTGTCTCTCTCTGTCTCTCTGTCTCTCTGTGTGTGTGTGTGTGTGCTCCTTTCTCTCTCTCTCTCTCTCTCTCTGTCTCTCTCTGTCTCTCTCTGTCTCTCTCTCTCTCTGTGTCTCTCTGTCTCTCTGTCTCTCTGTCTCTCTCTCTCTCTCTCTCTCTCTGTCTCTCTCTGTCTCTCTGTCTCTCTCTCTGTCTCTCTCTCTCTCTGTCTCTCTCTCTCTCTGTCTCTCTTTGTGTCTCTGTCTCTCTCTCTCTCTCTCTCTCTCTCTCTCTCTCTCTCTCTCTCACTTTTCCATAACTAACATAGCACGCAGGCCATAGGAACTTCCTTAGAACGAAAGCATCTCACTACACACAGATACCCACGTGGACATGGAAACCCAACACCTGGACCAGGACGATAAGAAACCACTCTGTGGTTGGTCCCTATGGTAGGCTGCTGCTGCCTGGTGTGCCCAGGCCCCTGGATGAACAGGGGTGAGGTGGGGGTGTGGACGACGGGAGTAGGGTGGGGGTTGGGAGAAGGGGAGGGACCTTCCTAATCACAGCCCCATCCTTGCTTCCTGAGTTCAGATAGAAACTCTATCTTGGAAGACAAAGCCCTGCCATCGGGGACACCTCTCCAGAATTTCCGGCTGGTCACACCAACTGCATGTTGTTGGTGTGATGCTTAGCTCGCCTGGGAGTGGAGCCAGAAGAACATGTTTAGGGCCAGCCCTCTACACCGTCTCATTTCCATGGGACTGATCTGTTGGCTTCTTTGGGGGAGAAATCAGTCTGCCTGCCAGCAGCTAAGGTCAGGGTGAAGGATGCGGGCTCGGGAGGAAGGTGCGGGGTGGGAGTGCTGGCTGCTATGGCCGCCGTGAATGGGCACGGGCAAGCTGTAAGAATGTAATAGACATTTATGAAATGATTTGTCATTGCTGAGACCTTGTGTGCAAGCCCCTTCTCTCTTCGAAATGCTCTGTGGAGTATCTGAGCCACCTCACGGATGCGTGAGGACCCAGGGGTCAAGGACTCCGTACAAGGAGGAGCTGCACCTGACCCCAGGCAGCCTGGCTCCGGCCCAGGCTTTCTACAGAGATGCTTCCTTCTCCTTTGCCAAAATGAACCAAGCGCATGGGAATTGGATGGAGCACTAGCGGTCTCAGGTGGTGGAGAAAGGAGATTTGGAATTAACTCTGCAAGTGACAGCAGGGTCGGGAGGCCGCCATCTTGTCAACGGACCAGGTCTCTCAGTGCCACTTATATGTTAGAATTATTCTTTGTGGTACAGGCGCCATATGCACGGTGGCATCTGGACAGGATTCCTGGTTTCTAGCTGTGAGATGCCAGGGAGATTATCACCTTCCCTCAGTTTGGGACAACTTGGTCTGTCCCAGACACCATCAGACGTCCTCTCCCCTGTATTGAGAAGCAGTCTTCTAGGAGGTGCAGAATGGGTTATAATTCATTGATTTAGTAAACGTCACTATTGAAAATCCATCTATGAATTTTAAAAATACAAATTCTTGGGTTGGTGAGATGGCTCAGTGGGTAAAAGTTCTTGCCAGAGTGAAGTCCCAAGATGTTATCTTCTGAACTCTACACATGTGGTGTGGCACAGGAGCGTGTGCACACACACACACATATACATACGTACACACACATACATACACAGATACATACACACATGTACACATACACACACATACACATATACACATAAATACACATACATACATACATACATACATACACACGCAAACACACGCACACACACATAAACTGTCAGGGGCAGCCCTGCTTATACACTGAAGGCCTAGAATCAACAATAGGCCTGACATACACAAAGTCTTGGGTCTCTGTGGAAAAACACTGAAACAGATGCCTAGAAGCTATTGTAAACAAACAGCTTTGGTGGAAAATTGCCAGGCTGAATAGTTATAGACCTTGTAGACAGGTAACCTTGGTGGATAAAACCAACTTAGATAAGGACAAGTGAATCATAGAGTCATAGTGACCTGACCCCTGAACCTTCACCCAGCTGACACTCTGTTCTGGAAGATATCTGTACTCCCCCTGAATACCCACACTCCTGCGTCATCCCCTTCCCCACATCCTGCCTTTTTTTGTATATAACCCCTGTGTGAAAAAGTAAAACTAGCAATTTGATCAGACTATAGACAGATCACCTTCTTTGCGTCAGCCTGTCCCCCACTTTCTCTTTCAGGTGATCTCCCAGGACCCCTGTTTAATGCCCTGCTGGTCAGGACAATAAACACCAAATATAAAATAATTAAAATAAAATTGAGACCAAATTTCATAGCCTTTGTGATAGTTTATACATGCTTGGCCCAGGGAGTGGCACTATTAGGAAGTGTGGCCATGTTGGAGTAGGTGTGTCACTGTGAGCATGGGATTAAGACCTTCCTCCTAGCTTCCTGAAAGACAGTATTCTCCTAGCAGCCTTCAGATGAAGATGTAGAACTCTCAGCTCCTCCTGCACCATGTCTGCCTGGATGCTGCCATGCTCCCACCTTGATGATAATGGACTGAACCTCTGAACCTGTAAGCCAGCCCCAATTAAATGTTGTCCTTTATAAGAGTTGCTGTGATCATGGTGTCTGTTCACAGTAGTAAAACCCTAAGACAGCCTTTTCTCTCTTCTACAGGGCAGCCTCTTAAAAGGTGGATATGAATCCTCGGTCTCAGTGGCAGGAGATGCATGCTTTTCTGATAGACTCTCAGCTGAGGACTTCTGTGAACTTTTAGGTAAGTGAAAGGCTTCCCTGGGCCACACCTTGTGTGGTGGTCTGAAGGAAACCAGCCTCCATAGGGTCAGATAGTTGAAGCCCTGTTCCCCAGTTGGTGGAACATTTTGGGAAGGATTAAGAGGAGTGTCCTTGTTGGAGAAGGTGTGACACTGGGCGTGGGCTTTGAGATTCCCAGTTATCAGGCTCCACCATCTTGTGCTTGTGGGTCAGAGTCAAGTTTTCAGTGTCGGCTCCAGCACTATGCCGGCCTGTCTGCTGCCGTGGTGGTCACGGACAGGAGACTTCCGTTCTCTTACATAGTGAGGTCACACAGTCGGGATGCACCCTGCCAACTGTATGGAGCTCTTTGGGCCCAAGGTTACAGATGGAGGAGACCGCCTCCACATATGGAGATTACTGGAGAGCCCAGTGCAGACTACTAAAGTGAGAGTAATACCAAATAAAAAAGGGAGGACTCGTCTAAAGCCTTGGAGGTACCAAGGGAGGAGGAGTGTGGCAGGAGACCAGTGAGATTCCAGCTGCCCTCCTCCTCCCCCCTCCATTCCCTCCCCCTTCCCCTCCATCCCCTAGCCCCTCCCTCCTGTTCATAGAGCCATTTACCCCTCCCCCTCCCCACCTCTCCCCATCCTCTCCTCCCTCACCCCTTCCCCATCCCCTCAAAGCCCAGCATCAATGGTGTTTTGTTTCACGGGAGACAGGATCCCTCTATGTATCCCAGCTGGATCTCACACTCATTGCAATCCCCCTGCCTGCGCCTTCTGGATGCTAGAACTGTGTGTCCCACCCACCATGCCAATCACAAACAGTTAAACCAGGCAGTGATCGAAGCAGAGCTGTGGAGATGGAAGGCAGGCCGGGGAAGGCTCCTGCCTAGCAGACTGAGGCAGGACCCATTCCTCGAGGACAAGGGTTCTCCACCCGTGGGTGGCAACCCTTTAGGCAAACCTCTGTCTCCAAAACTATTTATATTATGATTGATAACAGTAGCAAAATTACAGCTATGGAGTAGCCATGAAAATAATTTTATGGTTCTGGGTCACCATAACACGAGGAACTGTGTGAAAAGGGTCCCAGAGTTAGGAAGGTTGAGAACCCCCACCATAGGACAATAAATCTGATGTTACCTACCATCCTTTGGCTTCTCTGGCCTCATGTAAGAGACACAAATTGGCATGGAGAACGTCCCCTGCTTCTCATGCACCTTCTTCAGCCCATGTCCCTCCTCTGCTAAAGCCTCTGAGACTGAGCTGGGCCCCCCCATGGTGGCTGCACCTCAGTGCTTGCATTGACAAGAGGAAACTTACCGTTTTCCTGCCATACTGATCCGAGATGTTTCCCCAGAGTGTGGAACTGGACATCATGCCGATGAAGACCACCTGTGGGCAGACACACGGTTTCTGTGAGCAGCACAGGACAGAAGGAACTGGAGGCTACCTCTGACGTCACCCCCCAGAGCGCCACAGAGCAGATAAACCTGCGGATGAGCTGACATCCCTTTCTTTTTGAGACGGCGCCGGTTTGTGTAGTCCGGGCTGGCTTCAAACTCTCAATCCTTCTGCCTCAGCCTCCTGAGAGCTAGGATTACAGGTGGGGACCACCACAGGTCCCCAGCAATCACACCGGGGAGGGGTGTGACACACTTATGCCCATATCTCAGGCGAAGATGCTAAGGCTCAGTAAAGGAAAGTCACATGACCGGGCTCCCATGGCTGTTGGTGGCTGGATTGTGACAGACATGATGGCTCAGGACCTGGGGTTCTACAGCTTCCTTAGAGCAGAATTACAGGGATGGTAGTTACAGCACCCACGAGGGTGTCTGTCTGTCTGTCTGTCTGTTTGTTTGTTTTTTAAAACAACGGGACCTCTCTTTATAGCTCTGGCTGTCTGGGAACTCACCAGGCTGGACTCAGACTCACAGAGATCCACCTGCCTTTGCCCACTGTGTGCTGGAGTAAAGGTGTATACTTTTGTTTTTGTGATGGGCTTGGACTGTATAGCCCCAGCTAGCTGGTCTCGAACTTTCAACTCTCTGGTCACAGTTTTCGAGTGTGCGGCGCTGTGCATAACTTCTCTGTCATAATCCTCCCCCCCTCCTTTTCTTCCTCCTTCCCCCTCCTCCTCCCCTCCTCTTCTTCCTCCTCTTCCTCCCCATCCCTCTTTCTGCTCCTCTTCACCATCCCTCCTCCTCTTCCTCTTCCCTCTTCTCCCTCCTCTTCCTCTCCTCTTTCTGCTTCTCTTCCCCCTCCCCTCCTTTTCTTCCTCCTCCCTCCTCTTCCTTCCCCTCCCCCTCCTCCCCTTCCTCTTTCTGCCCCTCTTCCCCATCCCTCCTCCTCTTCTCCTGCCAAGCTTCCTCTTCCTCCTCCCCTCTCTTCCTCCTTCTTTCTGTGTAAGACTTCTCACTGACTTCTCTCACCCTTGGCTTCCTTCCCCACAGAACTGAGAGGAATCACAGAATGGCAGAAGTGTCCTCACAGGACAGAGAGGATCAAAGAAATGATGTGTACAAACCCCTCTGCACTGGACCTGGCCCATCAAGGGTCTTCTGAGTCTTGGTTGTGAGCTGACAACCTCATGAGAGAGGCCAGTAGGAAAAGGCAGCCGTGTACTACTCCCCAGGGAGAGTGGCAGCAAGGGTGTGGGGGGAGAGTCTCCCATTTCTTCAGCACCCCATCATTTTTCACTCAGGCTGCTGGGCCTGACTCCCGCTGAGCTGTAACCTTGTATCTCTAATCAGCCAGCTCTGCCTTAGATAATGCTCCCGGATGGTCAGCATAATGAGCAAACTCATGGTGTTCTGGGCTCTATCACTATATAGCAACTGTTCCTGGTTGCAGCTGGGCTGTGTGGCCTGGAGTGAGCAGCTCGACCTCTCTGTGCCTCGTTTCCCACTGCGAGTAGCCATTCTAGCACAGTTATAAGGGTACAAAGCTGTGCCATGGTGGTGGTTGGTGTCGATTGCCAACTTGACAGGTCTAGAATCGCCACGGAGATAAGCCTGTGGGCGTGACTGTGAAGGGTTTGTACAGCGGGCTGATGGAAGTGGGAAACTGCATCCTAACACAGGTGGTACTGAATAAAGAGAGAGATCTGGGTACCAGAAAGCATCTCTCTCTGCTTCCTGTGGGAATGCCATGGGACCAGCTGCCTGGTACCCTTCTGTCACACCTTGTTCACCAAGACACATCTCTCCAGACCACCATCAACCCTGTCTCCCTTAAAGTGGCTCCTGGTCAGGGTTACAGCCATAGCGGATGAGTAGCTAAGGTGTGTGTGCACTGTATCCAACATGGCTCCCTCCCTTGGCACGTTAAGCACCCAGGGAGCGTTAGCTGTTGTGGTCATGGCTGCTGCCCCCTCTCTGGGCCCTTCCATCCCCTCTGTATTCTCAAGAGCCAAAAATGGAGGGCTCTACCTCTCTCTCCTTCACAGCCTTGCTCCAGAGAGCACATCACTTCCTGCTTACTGAATATCTACTAGCCATTAGGGGTCATGTTTCCAGCCTTCACGTCACCCTTCCTGGGGGAGGATAGCACCTCCTGCCCGCCGCTGGGAAAGGTGAGGCTTGTACGGTGCATGTGACATGTGCTGGTGGGTTCCAGGCTATCTGAGGTCACCAAGGAGTGACCACTGGGTAGATAGAGCTGGCTGCTAACCTGCTGGGGTACACCACAGAGGAAGGGGGCCCAAGGGAAGTTGACATCGGCGTTTCCACCCAGGGAGACTGTGCTGACAGGTTTTATGCCAGCTTGACACAAGCTACAGTCATTTTTGGAGAGGGAATCTCAGTTGAGAAAATGACCCTACCAGACTGACCTGTGGGCAAGCCTGTGGTTCTTTCTTCCTTCCTTCCTTGTTTCATTCATTTCTTCCTTTCCTTTCCCTTTCTTTCCTTCCTTCCTTCTCTCTCTCTCTCTCTCTTTCTCTCTCCCTCCCTCCTTCCTTCTCTCTCTCTCTCTCTCCCTCTTTTCTTTCAATTATTTTATTTTGGTGTTTCAAGATAGGGTTTCTCCTTATGAAGCTTTGGCTGTCCTGGAATTAGCTCTGTAGACCAGGCTGGCCCTGAACTCACAGAGATCTGCACGCCTCTGCCTCACAAGTACTGGGATTAAAGGCACACATCACGGCCGCCTGCCTTTGTGGTACATTTTCTTGACTGATGACTAGCGTGGGAGGTGCTGGCTCACCCCACGGTGAGCACTGCCAGGTGACCTTGGTGCTATAGGAGGTGAACTGACAGACCGTGAGGAACAAG